TTATAAAATATATGCATTCGAACATTTTCTCTTTTTTTTTCAAATCATTTATTACGTGTATCTCTCTGCAAAATAAAATTAAATATAAAAATGAAAAGAATAAAAAAGAGAAATGCGATTAAGCAGTCACACATTTGTGTATAAAATTATTTTTCTTTAATTATATCCCTCTCTCTCTCTCTCTCTCTCTCTCTCTCTCTCGGATTTAAAGTTTCAATATAATAATAAATTAATAATAATAAATATATATATGTTTAAATTCAGATTCGAGATGTGTTTAATTTCAATATTCAATATCTGTTAATTCGTTTGAGTAAGTAACATTGTTTTTTTTTTTACTGTAAAAGAATAAAAAAATAAACGAAAAACAATGAAAAAAGGAAATACAAAAGAAGGAGTTGAGGTAAAAATTCGAAAAAAGTTTGTCGAGAGTTAGAAAGAACGCGAAGATGAATAAAAAATAATAAAGAAAACAAAAAAAAAGTAGGAAGGGGAGGAGAGGGGGGCTGTGTGTAAATTTAGGTAATCGTAGTTAGACTCTCGAAAATTGTTAAAGCTATTGTTTATTAATAGAAAAATATATATATAGAGAGAAAGAATAGAACGTTCGTTTACGAGCATGATTGCATGGGTGCATTTAGCAAATGCATACATTCGTTACATCTCGTTACATTTTGAGAAATTCAACGAGGAAATTCTCAATCGTTTAGCGATGAGGTACTTCGTAACTCAACTATAGTAACAAATCAACGTTTGCTTTCAATTTAATTGCTACGTTGTCGCGCACTTTAACAAAATTCATTTTGATAATAATATTTCGAAATAGAAATAGAAATATATGGATGAGACACACGCGAGTTTTAGAGAAATGTTTATAAATGATTATATAAATACGATTACGTGAGATAAATTCGAAAATAAACTCGAAGATAAAAATAAATTTGATTGATTGATTGATTGATCGAGAACAAAAATAAGTTTGCGTCAAATTTAATTGTTTTTTTTTTTTATTTCATCAAACAAATATCCTAATCAAAGATTTAATTCTACACACATTCCAAAGATAATATTATTATTTGGATTTATTCTTCTTCTTCTTTAATATATATTTTTAAATTGAGATCACAATTTTGTAAGTAATATAATATAATTATGAAAGAAAGAGAAATAATTCGATTGTTTAAGTAGAACTGGTCCGTGTATATTCGGCCAATCGTATTTAATATACGTATATATGTTACACACAAGTACAAGTAAATATTTTCTATGCATATAAATACTGTGTTTGAAAACAATAAACGTGTATTTATTTCTATATATATATATATGCACTTGTATAATGTATATGTAATACGTATACATAGATTAAGATGAATTCAATTGACGTATAGATATTTTTTCGAGAATTTTCATTTATCTTTTCTCTGGATATATTTTTTTTTCTTCTTCTATCAGTTCAAAAAAAAATAGAATAAAAATCGAAAAGGGCCATCGCGTATCATTCCAGTTTCGTGTGATATTAAAAAAGAGACTAATCCATACGTATATACGTATATAAATAAATACATACGTCCATACGTTCATACATATACATACAAATCCATTTGTTTCGACAGAAAAAAAATGAAAAAAAAAAAAAAAAAAAAAAAAAAAAAAA